CTCAGAACCTTCACTCCAGTGGGTGGACTTCTGTGGTATTAGTGTTCTCCACTTTGTGAGTCACCCACCCAGCAGTTATGGGATTTGATTTTATTGTGATTGTGCCCCTCCTACCGTCTCATTGTGGCTTCTCCTTGTCTTTGGATGTGGGGTATCTTTTTTGGTGAGTCCCAGTGTCTTCCTGTCAATGATTGTTCAGCAGTTAGTTGTGATTCCAGTGCTCTCACAAGAGGGAGTGAGAGCATGTCCTTCTACTCTGCCATCTTGAACCAATCTCTTCCTTCATGCCTTTATGCGTCACAAATTCACTCTTGTTATCTAAGTAGCTCAGATGTTTCTCCAGTGCAAAGATTTCTGAATGTTCTCTGGCAGAATTACTCCTATCGTTCCCTTTAGTCCCAGAGCACCTTATACGTGAGGACTCCAGGGCTTGCATGGTACATCCTGTTTGTCCCACTGGTTTTGAGATGGTGCTTTGAGGGACAGGCACCTTGTCTGCTCCTCATGGGTCACTGATTGGCACCCAACTGTGAGGATATGAGGGGTTGTCCTTTCTGCCTGGAAAGGTTTGTAGGAGGACTGATGGAAACTCAAGTGGAAAAGGGGGTTAGGCCATTATTGGGGTAGACCGTGGGTGCCAAGATAATAGGTGTGGACCTTTTTGTGTGGTCATTGGGACCCACTGCAGGGTTTTGAGCAGAGAAGGCTCATCATTTCCTCTTTCAGTTATTACTTCATCTCTGTGTTCTCCTTTAGAATGGAAATCATCAAGAGAGTTTTCTGTGTTTGATAGTCCAGTTTTTTTTCTGCCCAATCTCTAATTAATTTCCAGCTATTTGGGATTTTTTTAGATAATTTATTGTTACTGATTTCTTATTCAATTCCATTCAAGTCAAAGAACATTCATAGTGTTTTCCACAGTGTCTATACAGTGCACTAGGGTTTCAGTTTCTCCACATCCTTGCCCAAACTTGTTATTTTGTCTGTGTGTGTGTGTTGTTTTTAGTTTTTTAAATAATGGCCATTTTAATGGGTAGAGGTGCTATCTCATTGTGGTATTGATTTGTATTTCCCTGATAATTTGTAATGCTTAGTGTCTTTTCATATGCTGTTGGCCATATGCTGTTTATTTAAGTCCTTAGTCCATTTTTTAGTCTGGATATATGTTTTTTGTTAGTGAGCTGGAGTTCTTTATATATTTGGGATATTAACCCTTTATCTGATACATGGTTTGCATCGATTTTCTCTCATTCCATAAATTGCCTTTTCACTTTGTTGTTTGTTCCCCTTGCTGCACAGAAGTTTTTAAGTTTAATGTAGTCTCATTTGTCTATTTTTGCTTTTGTTGCTTGTGCTTTTTGTGTTATATCCAAGAAATTATTGCCTATTCCAATGTCATGAAGCTTCTCCCCTATGTTTCCTTCTAGGAGTTTTATAGTTTCAGGCCTGGGGTTTAGCAATTTTAATATTTGCAAATAATGAGCCTTTGGCTTTTTAATTTTCTTTGGAGTTTCATTTATATTTCATTGATATTTTTTCCTCTTTATTATTTTCTATTTTTTTTTTCCTTTTCATTTCCTAGCATCTTAAGGTGGGAGCTGGAGTTGTTTTTTTAAATTAAAACTTTTCTGGTGTATTCATTTAAAGCTATAAGTTTCCCTTTAAGAACTGCCTTTGCTGCTGTGTTTATTGCTAGAATTGCCATAATAATGCACCACAGACTGGGTGGCTTAAACGACAGAGATTGATTTTCTCTCAATTCTGGAGGCTAGAAGTTAAAGATCAAGGTGTTGGCAGTGTTGGTTTCTTCTGAGGCCCTTCTTTGGCTTGTAGCCGGCTGTCTTCTCCCTGTTTACATGGGCTTGCCTCTGGACCTGTCTGTGTTCAAATTTCCTCTTATAAGGACACCAGTTATATTGGATTAGGGCCCACCCTAATAATGCCATTTTAACCTAATTACCTCTTTGAAGACCTATCTAAAAATACAATCACATTCTAAGGCACTGGAGGTTATGAATTCACATATGAATTTCATAGGGGACACAATACACCTGTAATAGATCTATATCACAAATTTGGTTAGTTGTCATATGTCTCGATATGTTGTGTTTATTAGAATCATTCAGTTAAAAGTATTTCTAAATGTCCCATGGAATTTTTTCTTTCATCCATATCTCCTTTAGACCAGTGTTGCTTTACTGATTCCTACTTTAATTCCATCTTGAGCAAAGAACATACTCTTTTTAAGTTTCAGTCCTTTGAAATTGGTGACTTGTTTTATATGCCTTGGAATTTCATTTTCCTTGGTTAATATTCTTTGTGCCCCTTTTACACTTGCAGGGTTTAGCATTCTATAAATGTCAATTTGATCAATACTGCCTGATAGTATTTTTTAAACCTTCTGTTTTTCTTCTTTACTGTTAGTTTGCTTTTTCATTTACTGAGAGGTGTATCAAGTTTTTTTAACTGTGATTATGATTGTTTTTCTTTTCCACTCTGTCATCTTTTTCCTTCATGTATTTTTTCCAGTCTGTGACTTGACTTTTTATTTTCTTGCCAGTATCTTTTGTGGAACAGAAGTCTTTTAATCCTAACAGAATCCACCTTATCAATATTTTTCTTTCATTGGTTGTGTTTTTCATGTTATATCTGAAGAGACACTGCCAAGTCCCTGGTCACCTAAATTTTCTCCCATGTTATTTTCTAGGAGTTTTATAGTTTCATATTTTACCTTTAGCTCTGCTATCCATTTTTAAAAAAATCAATTAATTAATTAATTAATTAATGGCTGTGTTGGGTCTTCGTTGCAGTGTGCAGGCTTCTTATGGTGGTGGCTTCTCTTGTTCTGGAGCACAGGCTCTAGGCCCACAGGCTTCAGTAGTTGTGGCACGCAGGCTCAGTAGTTGTGGCTTGCGGGCTCTAGAGCGCAGACTCAGTAGTTGTGGTGCACGGGCTTAGTTGCTCCGCAGCATGTGGGATCTTCCTAGACCAGGGCTCAAACCTGTGTCTCCTGCATTGGCAGGAGGATTCTTAACCACTGCTCCACGAGGGAAGTCCCTGCTATCCATTTTGAGTTAATTTTTGTGGAAGGTATAAGGTCTGTGTATGTGGCTGTTCAATTGTTCCAGCACTGCCATTTATTGAAAAGATAGTCCTTTCTCCATTAAATTTTCCTTGCTCAGTTGACTTTATTTATGTGAGTCTATTTCTATGCTCTCTATTCTGTTCCATTGATCCATTTGTCTATTTTTTAAATTTATTTTTTGCCAATACCACACTTTCTTAATTCCTGTAGCTTTATAGTAAGTTGCAAAATCTGGTCACATCAGTCTTCTGACTTTGTTGTTCTTCAGTATTGTGTTGGCTCTTCTGGGCCCTTGCCTTTCTGTATAAACTTTAGAACCAGCTTGTTGATATCTTCAAAGTAACTTGCTGGGATTTTAATGGATTGAATGTATAGATCAAGTTGGGAAGAACTGACATCTTAACAATATCAGGTCTCCCTATCCATAATATGGACTATCCATTTTATTAGATCTTTGATTTTTTTTCAGCAGAGTTTTGTAGTTTTCCTCATATAGATCTTATATGAAAAATTTGAAAAGATTTATACCTAAGTATTTCACTTTTCTGGTTGCGAATGTTGTTGATTTCAAAATCCATCTGTTCATGGCTGGTATAGGAAAGCAGCTGATTTTTACCCTGTATGCTGCAGCTTTGATATATCACTTGCTCTAGAAATTTCTTGTTGATTCTTTGGGATTTTCTGCATAGACAATCAGGTCATCTGCAGACAAAGACAGTTTTATTTCTTCCTTCCCAATCAGTATACCTTTTATTTCCCTTTCTTATCGTCTTACATTAGCTTGGAATTCCAGCATGGTGTTGAATAGGAGTGGTGAAAGGTGACATTCTTGCCTTGTTTTTGATCTTAGTGGATAGCATCTAGTTTCTCAGCATTAAATACGATGTTAGTTGTAGATTTTGCACTTTTTATTATATAGCCACAATTATTTGCAGAGAGTATCAGCACAGCCCATTTTTAGCCTAATCCTAACAAAATTAATACTGATTCTTTAATGTCATCTAATAACTTATCAGTGTTCATATAACAAGGTCCACACATTGTGTATGATTGCTGTGTCACTTAAGTCTTCCTTTTATTCCATAAGACCTCCCTCTTTTTATGCTATTAACTTGTTGAAACCTTCATATTTAAAAAAAATTGCAAATTATGTCAGTTCGCCCTCAGTACTTCAGCATCATTTCTAATTGTGATTTGTTTTTCTCTATATCCAGAATATCATGATCCTACCTAACAATATTCACAATAATTATCTAACATCATCTAATACCCAGTTCATTTGAATTGGCCTTCATAGTCCCCAAAATTTTCTTCAGTTCATTTGTGCAGACTAGTCAGTCAAGGCTAATAGATGACATCTGAAGAATGGTTTAT